ATACAATTACGGTCCGAATGTGTTGCTAATGGTGCATGATAGCCACTGTGTTTTTACTGCTTCTTTTATAGTCATTTTGAAATGAAATGTACCGAATAAATGAATTACAAAAATTAAACAATTTAATTATCGGCGTTAGAAATTTTGCACAATATCAAAAAATAATTGTAGTTTGCGTAAGCTTTTATATATAGACCTTATAAGTAGTATATTGATTGTTAACTCCCATTAAGTAAAACCTGACATTAAATCGGTGACTTTATCAAATACCTAATAAAGTATCATTGTTATGTAATAAATTTCGTTAATAAAATTTCTAAACCACAGATTTTCTCTTTGCTGTTGAGGGAGTAGCGACGTAGAAGGTCAGAAGTGGATTCCCAATGCGCCGCACACAGATTCGATTATACATTCCTCATCACACATAAACAAGTGTACATATTTACTTAATTTGGTAAATAGATAGAGGCATATGTATCACATATTATACAGCTGAAACCAGCAGAGCCAGTAATTCAAGCTATTAGTCAGCAAACTGTCATACCGAGCAAAATTTTCAGAAGCGTACGTGTTGGTGAGAACTTTATGAAATTTTCAGCAATAAAGCACACAGAAAAACACTTTTCAATAATCATAAATAAATAATTTTCTATATGATGCTATGAAACTTAATACATCGAATATTTATAGCCGCCGTGGAATTAGAGGTAGCCGCGAAAAATCTTAAAAAATCTCAGGATAAGAACTACATACGAGTATGTTCATGGAGTGGACAAAATATCTAAATATATCGCAGAGTCAACTTCATCGACATCACCATATGATCATATACAAGAAAACTCATCTGATTCGGGCACAGACATAATATCATTGAAAAAAGATTGCTCAAATCAAGTCGAGTGCTTGCAACACAAAATAACAAAAATATCCGTGCGGAAAATCTTCATCAATCCAAAATTAGTAGCTGCACTAGACAGGGGGCACATAAGTATTAGAGATAACCTATATGTTCTTGAAGCTACTATTGAAGCACTTGGATAGAATATACCCTAGGTAAGTCGTCAATTCAAAGAATTTGCACAGAAAAACGCGAGGAGCGTGTGGAATCGATTAAAATTGATCTTAGAAATTAAGTGCAAGAATTTGTGACAATTTACTTTACTTGAAAATTATTGACTGCTTTAGCTGTGGTAGCAAAGAATAGAAAACTCATTAGAAAGAGAACAGGCAGGTAGTAGAAATGGGTCAAATGTTTTTTTTTTTCAATAGCCAAAAAACGCTCTTAATTCCAGCCTTTAGACTATAATACACCCTTTAGCAGATTTTAAGAAGATGACGATAAAGATTTTTTTCTACTTGTATGCAGTACATTAATAAATCTAACGAACCCGCAGCTACACTAAGTTACAATGAAGAGTAATTACGAGGGCTACTGTAGTAATATTGAGTTCTATTTTATATATTTTATTTTTTTTTATTTTCTGCACCTAATTAGTACCAGAAATAATTACAAAAGCAGGTAAATAACGTTAATAAATTGAACGCGAAAATGTATTGAAAAAGATAAACGAAAAGCACAGATTTTAAATTAGCAATGTTGCATGTGGCATTCTCATGCCATCGCTCCAAATTTAAATTTTTAAACCCTTTGCTTTTGAAGAACCTTTCGGTAAATGCCAATGAAATGCTCGGCGCGAAAGTTGTTATGCGTTGAAATCATTAATTAAGTGAGTTTTCCACGACACGCAAAAATACCAATAAAATGTCTTAATAACGAAAAAACTCATACATAATCAAAAGTCATTAAATATTCGATGAAGTGCAGAAAGAGGTGAAAGCTTATTAAACAACAACGTTCTATATACGCCAACGTTAACTCCTACACTTGGTAATATATGATATAAATAAGTTGTTATTTATAAGATTTAAACGCTATAAAGTTACTACGAGGACTGCAATCGACAAGATGTTAAAAATTTCAATTAGTAAGTAATTGCATACCTATTAATAGCGGTGTAAATATGTTCATCTCTACTAGAAGAAGCTTTTATAATTTTAGCTTATATATGTGCCAGCTTTATTCCAATACTTATACTTGTGTAAATTCGTGTACATATTTCTATTAAATCATAAATATTGTCTTAAATGATTTACTTAACGATTAGTGAAAATGAACTACTCGAAAATATTATATAACACACTAAATATTTTCAATATTCTTCGATTAATCTTATTTCTATGTATGGTGAAAACACATACCTCCCGACATATTAGACCAATTTCAACCAAATTCAATAAAAAATATTATTCTAACATTCTTATGTTACAATACGAAACTGTGCGAAATTGGACTACAATCACGCCGACTTCCCGTATAACATAACTTAAAATCCCATGATTCTTTTAAATTCCAGTTTACAAATCAAGCAAAATTCAATATATCGGAAAAAAACTTTGCAGAAACAGTGCCTTTTTTATGTTTATTAAATTGATTGAGAGTTTTTTTTCAATAACGATGCGCAAAGTTTTTAATTGAATATAATTACAGAAATAATGAAAATATGTAATAAAACATGAAGCAAAATTAACCTACAAATATTTACGCAGACAAATACTTCAGAAAATGGATGAGAATATATTAAATTAAATCCTGGAGTAGGTAATTCATATTAAGTTTGGTGACGAAGCTTCTTAATTAATTACGTTGCTTCTATTCATATAGATCAAACTGCCTTTAGTAAAGCCACAATACAGAAAGTTTTTAATAATCCAAAACTTTATATGTGACTGAATAATTGCGGTCTTAATAGTATAATGGTCATAAGCGTTTGTTTGCATAATAAAAATAAAATTTAGGAGATTGTGGAAATATATCTTTCTATGTAATAGGTATTTGCTTGGCTAACCTACGAGAGCAAATATTGTATTAAAACTGAGAATTAATTAAAATTATAAAACTCGTAACTGAACTTAGATGTATACATACATACAATCACGTACCTTAAATTCAAAAATAAGGAAAAAAGTTAATGCGGCTGCTGAGTTTTAAATAAATACAATACCAGCAATTTTCATAACTAACAAATTGATGCAGTCGGTTAAATAGTATGTTAAATAACCGTCGAGCTACCATTACAAACTCAAAAATGTCATCAAGAAACGCTACTAGTTCATCTACGAAACGAGCGATAGTAAGAAAATGTTAAAACATAGACTAAATACTCATCTTATATTGCAATCAGCCTAAAAAATGACATTTATATATGAACAATATATAACCTATATCTAACAAATCGAGTAGAGTCTCATCGTCATCTATGATGATACAAAATCATCTCTCATTACTGAAATTACCGGAAATCGATTATTTTAACAATAACATAACCTAAAAAACCTCTAAAAACCAAAATTGCACATAATGAGTATTAGCTCAGAGAACAAACCTTTATGTAAGCATTAACTAAAGCGCTACTATCGAAAAACGATCGTAACTTACCTAACTTTTTCCAATAATTTATATTTTTGAAGAAAGTCAATGCAGAAGAAAGTTTGAGACATAAATGAAACATTCCTTAAAAACGCCCACACAGATGTGGTAATCTTCGTGTATAAAATGTTTACCTGAAGTGCGCAGTTATTCTCTGAAGCAACAACAACGCCAGGTATGCAAACAATCTTGAATTAAGTACATACGCCTTTTATTTAATTACTTTTGTAGATTTATATAAGTTTTGAGTGGAAGGTAATTTTAAATAAAAGAGGTATTGCACTTAGCACTAAATTAAAAAAGTCTTGGTTGCTGCAAGTAACAAAAAGAAACAAAAAAGGATAGTATAAAGTAGCAGATGGCACTTCGTGAAGGCATTAGCAAATCGACATTCGACTAGCAAACATCTATAAAAGTTTTCTACAACTTTTACATCCAAGAGTTAATAAAACAATATAAAAAGAAATAAAGATGTTGCCCATTCCCGATACACCTTTCATAGCCTACGTAAGTGAAAAAGCCTACATTTAAAAATTATAATTAAATATCTTATAAAGTTTACTGACTCACATATCGTAATATTTTTATATATTTCAGGTACAATGTTATTATGGTGCCCTACCAACCAATGCATATGGAACATGCAATACCTATGATAATACGCGAATACTTCCAACTTTAACACAATCACCGGTTAGGACAGTTTCGCCAACCGATAACCGTATTTATACACGAACTGTATACACGCCTGAGCAAGTGGCTCAGTTAGAGCGCGAGTATTCAATTTCCCAATTTGCGGAAGGTGCCCACTGAAGGAAAATCGCAGAACGTATAGGCGTGGAAGAGATCAAAGTGAGGATTTGGTTCAAAAATAGACGGGCGAAAGATAAAAAGCGTCCTGTGATCTCCACTTCTATTTCTGCTGAAAATGGACTCTCTACGATAGGAAAAATATTGGAAAATATAAATAATCCCAATGGTGCTGCAACGTCAAGTGGTGGTGCTTCTTCGTTGAAAACGGCGAAAAGAGACGATGTAGACGAAATTCCTGCGATTTATGTTCGCCAAAAAGCATCAGAACCACCACCGCCACCAAAGAAACATAAAGTGGAGGTATTGGAGCATCTTGTATTTTATCCGGCTACAAATAATTGCGTTCGAATTCGTCGTGATATATGTACTCCGGTAGTGACCACTATTTAACTTCGAAGAAGTGATACTCTAATTCAATCTATTTTATATAAGCACATTTTGTATTGAATATTAAAGAAAGTGATTTATTATAAATAAAAGATTTAAGAGAAAATATTTTATTCACCAAATTCTAAAGTATTTATTATTAAAATAAGAAACATGATAATTATTACCAAATATCATGTTCAATCAACAACCAAGTTGCATGCAGTAGCATCTGCCTACTCCACGATTCATGTCAGCGCAATTTTGCCAACCATCAATCAATCACTCAATCCATACACACGTAAAAATGTATGTAATTTAATGTTTGACATTCTCACAAATTATGATCTTAACTTATTATATATGCCAGACACATCTTTGATAGGTAACCACGAAAATGATAATAATTATGATAAGAACAAAACAAAAAATTAAAAGCATTTAACCTGAAACTCGACCCCAGCGCACAAATTTGCAAGATATCTATTTATTTTTATAAACGAGTTGAACTATAAAACTATTTACTATATAACCAAATAGTGAGGTGAATAAAGTAACATTGAGTTAGTACTACCACTATCTATCATATGCTTAATACAAAGATTTCAAAATTCCAGTCGACCTCATACCGTATATATCGGTCAATATGTAAGATATCTTAGCAAAATTAACTAAACTTATACTACAAGTATTGGATATTTACGGCCGAAATTATGTGAAACTTTATTATACTACATATAAAGGCTTGCATTATTCTAACAAACCGTATGCCGAATATTAAGGTCACTGTGCGAGTTATTTATTTATAAAATTGCTTGAAAATATGTTCCCAAATATATATAAGTGAGCAATGTCAAAGGTTACTGCAACAAGCCCAGACCTTTCTCTGTTCCCAATATACCCCATATAATGATTTCAAACAGTATTTAAATCGGTTAGGAAGGTCAAAATGTAATATTTAAATGAAATTTAATGAAAAACTTATATCACAATTATTTCATTTGAGGTAAGGTCTAGGTAATTCTATGACCTTAAAAATAAGTTAATTATATATCAAATTTAATTATAATCCCGGCTTTGTCGAACAATGAAGTTGAACTTTTTCGCTATATTTTTAAATATAAAGTTTTGCCAACTCTTGAAGGTATTTCTTTTGATTTTGATCCCTGCAAATGGCAAGAGTATGAAATATTCGGTTACACCCGAACTTAGCCCTTTCTTACTTATTAAAAACTAGTTTTCTTATTATCCTCCAAATACGGGAGTTATTAAATTGATCAATACTTTTGCATTAGAGGGTATTGTAAATGATTCATTTCAATGAACTCGATAAACTAAAGTTGAGGCAACAATTCGATTGCATCTTCTTTAGCGTTAAATCTCAATTCACTTTTAAAAATGGCACTGAATGATTTTCATGTTTGATGCGAAATTGCATTACTTCAATCAATCAAATATATTTCTTATGCAAATATGCATACTCACTCAGTTCAATCCTCGGTGGTGCCATGTTTATGAGTACGACGGCTAATAATATCAAATGATTAAGGAGAGCATGGAGTTTTACTTCATTTTCTGCATTGACTGATTTTTCAATAGCACAAATCTCTGAACCACAAAAAACTCATAATAAAGTTATGTAAATA